GTAACTTTTATCGAAACAAAAACTCCGATTAATCCAGATATTTCCAGAATAACTGAATTCCTTAATTTTTATCAATTTTTCGTATCCACAAACATAATGAAAATATTTTATCACATTCACAGAAACTTGAAGAAACGAAGACAAATTAAAATCTAATGGTCGATTTGACAACTCTGATACATAAGAATCCGAAAGAAAAACATAATTATTGACTAATTATAAAGAAAATGGTCATAGAAAAAATTTGTGTACTACAATCTAATAGTAAATTTAAAATTTACAAACAGAGGCACTCGAAAGAATAATAAATAAAACTAATTATTACTTAATTAAAAAACAACAGAAAATAGCTAAAGAAAACAACTAAAAAATAAAATCTGTAAGTTTATGTAAAAAGATAAGTAAAAATTTGTTCCCATTAATCTTTTTTTTTGTTGAAGGACACATATTTAATTTTTTTGTTTAAAGGTAACTTCATGTTCAATAAATAGAGGTTCGACTGTATTACAAATTATTTTTAGTTTTAGTTAAACAGAACTAGTGTTGCCCAAATGCGAGACTGAGAGGAGTCTTGGTCTTGCAAACTCAGTCTAGGTCATGGTCTTGCAGTTACTTATTTGCTTATTACTATAGAGATATTACTGTAATTTATTAGATAGTAGAAACCTAACTAAGCCCGAATGAAAAATTAGAGGAGTTAAATAAAAAAGTATATTGGTTATACCGATTATTTACATCTAGTAACTGTGATTGCCAAGTATTTAAAAAAATCGATTTTTTTTTTACCAGTCGTGGTCTTGGTCTTGCAACAGTTAGATAGCCTTGGTCTTGGTCTTGCAAAGTGCAAGACCAAGACCGATTTTGGGCAACACTAAACAGGACTAATTATAGAGCAGACAAATATTGCCAAAAAAAACATAGTAAAATTGACATTTTGATCAAGTTACTCTAAACTAGGTGATAATAACAATTATTGAATATTTTTGCATTTTATAATATAGAACTTGTTATAGTTACAGAACTATTGTTTTATAATATTAAATTCTCACATTTGTTTTTTAATTTAGCAGTAAAATTAAACAAAAATAAATATAAGTAAAATTATGATTCAAGTTATTTATTGGTTTAAGAACAATGGAACACAGATTAAGGATTACTTAACATTTAGTGGTTACGAGACATATTTTACAACAGATTTTATAATATTTTTTTAGGATTAATTCTTCGCTTATGGACTATTTCTTTATTCATCAGTATATACTATTTCTTCTTTCAAAAATAACATTCAAATTACATTACTCTGTGAAGAGATAAACAAAAATTATGACCGATTGTTCTCTTAACATTGATCTCGGAACAGGAAACACTTGGGCAATTACTTGTCTGGCGATTTCATCATCTCTGTTATTTACAACTAGGTGCAGAAGTGTGGGAAAGGATTATGGTAAGATATTTTTAGTTTTCAATAGATAAGCCGACAAATAGCAATGGAATTTATGATGAAGGTAATGGAAAACCAGGTTCGTATTTATTTATGTTACTTAATCAGTAAAGGATGATCACATTTTCTATTTGTATCACGTTCTTTCTTTCCATCTTTAAGTGACGAGAATTCTTAAAAAATATCTAATTTAAACCTCTCTTGTCATAAATCCATGCTAATTATCTCTTATATTAGTAACAAATTATTCATCAACATAAAAATCATTAAAACAATAGTGGAATAGACGGTGGAATAGATTAAGCTAATAAAATGAGAATTTAAGACGTTTTCTCTTTATTTCATATAAATTCGTAAATACGAAACTCATTGATTGTTCACAAATTAATATATCAAAACAGTTAAAATAATACGTACACTACACAATATATTTACTATTAATTCGTTTAAATGTGTCTTTTCCATTGGAGAAGTGAAGTACTGTATGCAGCATTTGGAAAAACTTTTAGCATTTTCTTGATTCGTCTTAATTAGAACAAGAAAGTTGAAAAAAAAAAAACCTAATCACTTTTTAAAAAATGCTTAAAGTGGGAGCCTATGCGATATGGAGTTGGTCAGGGAAGAAGATAGAAAACTTTAAGAAAACTATGAAAATGCAATTTGAATTTTCGAAAACATAACATTTAGATCATGAATTAAGGCCCAAAAATGTGTAATTTGAGGAAAGTTGTTGACCGTGTACACTCACCATAAATGACGACAACCTTAATCCCCAAAACCTTCTAATTTGGAATCGTTTTGCTATGGTCGATTTTCAAAATGTCAAAAAATTACGGGATCAACAGCAGGAAAAAACCGGCTGGAATAGTTTCAGACAAGTTATTACGTAATATATTTAATAAAGTCAGACAAAATTTTGGATGCTTTATACGAATCTGACGACTTTAAAGTTTCAAAAATGACGTGATCGTCAGCAGAGCACAGTAATCTTATTATTGCTAATTTTGCCATATTATTAAGTAACCATTAACGATGCTATGTGTTAAGAAAATGTATTTATTTTTTTATATTTCATAAAATTCTAATTATTTATTTATACGGAGTGGTTAGGGGTGTCCCGGAAGTTGAGGGAAATTTTTGTAGTAGTGACTTGAGCAGAACTCAAGAGCTACAAAAAAGTACCTATCAACAATGGGCCAATTTTCAGCAGAAAAGTAGGAAATCCAAGTTTTATATTTTTATAACTAAGCCATATTTTCTGTTGAATAGAAAACGATAACTAAAGAAATATTTGATTATAATAATAATTGTTTGGTTGTAAACTAAACAGAATTTACTTCAAATGAAAATAGAGTTTGTCATTGTTAAAAACATTTAAAGAAGATTTCTGAGCCGGTCAACTAACCAAAATTCTTTTTTTAAAAAATCATAAGATGTTGGCAATTTTTTTTTTATCATTATCCAACAATACTACAGATACACCATTTCCAGGAAATCTTCCTCGTTTGATAAGATTTAAGCCCATATTAATTAAGTCGAAGTTTAATAGGCAAAAATTTGAGATTTACCTCAAGTTGTGTATAGAAATTATGTGATTTTCTATCCAGTCACCTGAAAGTTTCCGTGTTTTCAGCAAAAAAGACTTCAATTAACTTTTGTAAAGCTTTTATTTCTTGTTTTTCCATTATCTGAGATGTATTGTGATAAAATAATTTACTTTCAATTCATAAAAGTAAAAAAATAAAATTAATGATAGTTTAATTATTTTTCATGTAAGTTACTTATGAAATTGTATTTTTCTCTTCCAGATTTCTGTCAAAGAAATTGATCCGTATTTATAAGAGGCAAACTTAATGTTTCTAGAGCAAAAATTTAAGTTTAAAATAAAGAAACCTTCTGATTGCTTCAATTATTTTCATGAAAACGTAAATTTAAGCTCAATTATCTGAATATGTTCTTATCGGAGATGTGTTGCGACCTGTTTTGGCACCTCTGATTAAACAAGATTAAACTTGAAAATGTAAGTGGCGACATTCTTTTAATAGTAAGACAATGTTTTGGTAGTTTTAGTTTACACAGAACCCTTATATTAGTAAATCTATGTAAATAGATTAGCCCTTCCAATCGAAACTCTAAGATTATTAGAAGTTATTTGATTTTTTAATTGTATAAGAAGGAATAAGAAGCCAATAGCTTTTCAGTTTTTGAATCTTTGAAGAGCTATTATTTTTAGGTAGATTTATTAAGTTCATTTACAAAATATCAACATCCTGAATAAAAGCAAAATAACTTTACCGTTATTCTAACCACCTTAATCGAATAATACTTGAATTTCGATTGTAAAGTTATAATACAAGTAAATAATACACCCAATTACTTGAAGTCATAATACAGAATTGGTAAATGGTTGACTGTCGTGGATAATGAAGAGAAGAATAGTTGGGGTGGTCGGTCAAAAAAGAAGGCAAAAATAAATGATAGTATTTATTTTTACATATGCCATAATAACAGTATTGAAGTCATAATAATAATATGCTATTAATATTACAGTAAATTTTTTCCCATGCTTTCGTCTGCTAATGTGCTGTTTTGGTTTTCACAGATTAAATTCAATCCAGTATAAGCCTCAACTATCTTATGTAATAAAGATTAAGCAATAATTTAATTTCCTTAGTTTTGTTTTGTTTTGTTTCGATGTTATAAAATTTAAGGCATGGTTAAAAAATGGAAAAGTAAATCGCTTCAATTTTTGAGAAAATGCGTTATTTATTGCTTAATAAAAAGTATATTAAGTAACGTTTTTAAAAAACAATAAACGCCTTATTTATTTATTTATTTTTTATAAATTTGCGTCTAAGTTCCTAACGGTTAGGGTCTAACCACATTGAGACGCAGCACATTGCAAGATAAATCCAATAAAATTAGGGATTGAACACAACATTCAAAAATGTTCATTCACGTGAGAAACCAGGGTCTATGAAGATGTAGATAAAAACAGCGTTAATGATTGAGTGAATAAATTATCGTCAATACTAAAACGATGGATTTGGTGGCAGTGAAGAAAGTTGCTGAATAGGAAATAATTCGGTAACAAACCATTGTCGTAAATATAGATCAATTATAGAAGAATTTGGAATACAAATAAAATATATCTTGTAGACGCTAAATAATTAATATGTTGTTTTTTTAGTTCTTAGTTGTTGATGTTTATAAAGTTAAGAGTCATTAGATAAATGATTTTGGGCACAAAAAATACAAAGAATAAGAATTAAAAGTTACATTAAGGTCAACGAAAATACATGATATATATGTGTACATTTTTAAACCAGTAAAGGCCACGACTGAATGAGATATGGGCTGTCGAGTATGAGGAAGGAAAGAAGCACTCAGCAACAACAATTTAGGAATGAGATAACGCAAAACGCATTCACTATCTTCAGTTACCATTATATTTACATTAATTCTGTACAAATAAATCTCAAAATGATATTAATGAAGTAAATAACCTTAAAAAATGAGTCACTGGATTTTACTCTATAAGAGTTGGATTAAATCGCCTTTAACTTTTCGAAAAGGTATTGATCGATAGTAGATCATGATTATAAGATAAGTTGCGTAATGTTGAGCATACCATTGCGGATGGGGTTGGAGAGAGACGGACCTCCCGAGGAGCTGGTAGCGGAGCCGGCGATGTTCCGCCGTGGGCTGAGTCTTCTTCATCGTGGCCACATGAGGACTGCCGGCACTCGAGCACTCGACAATCCGGTCGCGATAAGGTGAGCACCGCGAGATAAGGTGAGTCACAGCTGATGGAGAGGGGAGCAAGAGCACGTAGAACGGCAAGTCTGTTTACATTTTATCGAAAGGAATGCAATTGTAATTGGCAAACAATATTTGCGCTAATAGCACGAACAACTATAAATTGTCTTGTATCCAATGGCTCACGATAATTTAGTAATAATCGCCATCACCTCACGGTTTATGATGATACCTGAATTGTGATGAAAATGACAGAATTAAAGAATTAGATCCTTTTACGTTACCTTCTTGTTAATTTATTATTTATGATAATTTGGGCATGAGTGAAATGACATGTCACCATCTTGAAATACAAGCTTTTCTTTGCCTAAGATTAAGGAGGCCGCTTATCAAAATCCTTTTCACCCTTTGGAGGGTAAAAACAAGTGGCCGAAATATTTATATAATTTTCATTTTAAAATAATGTTAACTAGATTGAATTACATAGATCATTACACTTATATAGGGCATTAGCGTGGTATGCATAAACGTTAATTTTAACTTCAGTCAATGGTTTTGTAAAAAAAAGTTCTATGAAAGACAACGAAAAATGGCTTCTTTCAGCCAATTTAATTGCGGAGAGGTTTCTACAAAGCAACAACGTTATTGAAAATTCAAACTGCCCCGTTACCTCCATTACTCGAAGATCAATCGGTAATTAAACGCGTGTTCCCACCGATGTTCAATAGAAGAAGAAACGTCAAATTTCAATGGCAATACAATTGACTGAAAGTCCTTTTTCATTGAGTTTCACAAAAGTGTTCCTTTTTGACAGAAGTTCAAGTGGAGTCAAAGGAACTAATATGCATACCACCCTCAGTATCAAGTTTGATTACTTTTAATTGACAATTTTATAATTTATCAAGTCGTCTGAACATGAGTCTTTTTCGTGGGACCATAAACTTGGGAAGTTCAACAAAAAACAGAAAACATAAATAAAAACAAACATAAATTTATAATTGGAAAATTATCAAACCAAAACAGAAAGCCTTTCAAATGCAGCTAAACAACTACCCCATTAATGTTTCTCCAATTCAAGTATCACCAGAAAAAAAACTAAATCAGATAGAATACCAATATGGAGACTAAATAAAACAAATATCTCATCAATTGGCAAAAAAGTTCATAAATTCGTTTATCTTAATTATTAGTGGGAGGCTGGACGTTGATATACAATGAAACTTCTCAATAACTTTTATATAGCAATTTTATAATCTCTCTCCATAACGGACACGGATGAGCTTGATGCAATTATTTTGATAAGTTTCTTCATTATGGAGAGTAGGGAACCAGCCTGTGAAGTCATATAATAACTTCTATCCTGTTTGTAATAGCATAGTTCAATTACTCTCAGAAACCGGTTCATAGTTTTAATCTTCCGTTCTTATTCCTCCTACAGGATCGATTAACGATATATCAATCTGTGTCCATGTAAGTTGAGTGCTCGAGAAAAATTTAGTATTCGCGAATTATCTGCTAAATTCTGAAGAAAATTTCAGATCTTATCATAGGTTTCAATTACCAATCCTTCATGTGGAAGGCATAAGGAAACATGCGCGAGCCAAGCTAATAATAATGATGAACACTTCTCTCGCTTACAATACGCAGGTTCGATTTTTAGTTTTTGAGATATTTTAATCAAAATGCAAAAACACTTCAATTAACCGACTACAGCCGATTTTACCCGAAGAGTTACACATCGGAGATCTGACGGCTCAATCTAATTCACTCTCCAAAAAAAAATTGCAAAACGTGCCTATAAAAGTTTTCAATTTAAAAAAAAATTAAGTGGAGAGAAAAAAAAAATCCTGTACCACTTACAATCCATGAAAGGTCTTGGGTTCAGTACTGTTTATTGATCTACGGTTGTGCAAGGAGGTGATTTGACCGAGATCTGGCTCAACCGCCAGGTTTTCCTCCCTAATTAATTATTTTAATTAAGGGTACCCACTTTATAGAGGCTGGGTGTGGCCCAGGAGGAAGGTCTACCCAGGGTCGCCCCACGGCCAATGAAACAGAATTATTAATTTTTCTGACATGAGCCGAGATTCGAACCTGGGACCTTTAGCATTGGAAGCTCAGCACCCTACCACTGAGCTACCCAACTCCCCTCTGGAGTGGAGAAAAGAAAAATCATATCACTAGCGGATCCAGTAGATGGCCGCGGGTCACGGGAAGAGTCACCCTCTAGTCTAGGAGAGAGTTTTTTTTTTTTAATCTGTTTATTGAATAATAGTACAATCAGCCACTGCTGGAGGGCTATAAGCATTAGGGCTATAAGTTCTCATTCATACAATATATACAAATAATAAAGAAAGAAATATAAATATAAGAAGTAAATAAATGATACTGGTGAAGAAGTTAAATAAAAATAAAAAAATAAAATAAAATAAAAACTTCTAAACACAATCATACCTATATACAATATATACATTCGCCCAAGAATCTCCGAGCCAGGCTTTTTCCCCCACACGTGGAAGGCAAAGCAAGATTCCGGAAGATCCCAGCGCCACTTTTCCAGCCGCATCACTAGTATTAGAAGCCAATGGAGACTGAAAGAGGGCACTAGAGCCACAGACACTCAGGACATGAGTGGAGAAGCTGGCCATTGCCAGGACTCCAAAGGCATATTTACAAAAGATCTCGAGGCCACTGCCGTTTCAACCTTCGAGGGGGATGGTATGGATGTTCGGAGGTGGATAGGGATTGCGCTAGAGGATTGGGATGATGAATGAGGTTCTGGTGAAAGTTGGAGAATCTGGATGGGATAATGTCATGGACATATGGGATGTTAAGGTCATGGTGTAGGGTCTTGTCTAGGAGAGAGTAGGAAAAAAACAGCTTTACCCCAACATTAAAAAAAAAATGATAAAACTTGTCAGAAATTGTTCATTACTCTCCCTTTAATAGCTGGTAAAAAGTCCCAAAGAATCCCACGTCGGATATTATCGGGGAGGAGGGGAAGGACATAAAACTGATATTTTTATAGAGTTATGATAATATCTCAAAAACTATGATTTTTTTTCCGCAATTATTGTTTAGTACTATATTAAAATATCTATAAAAATGATCCAATACATTTTTTGGATAAAATCATCCATGGTTACGGTGATATTTATGAGATTATATTTATTGGATTTCCACTTTAAGCAAAAATTGCTTTAACCCGCATAATTGATGTTGTTCATAGTAGAAGAAACCTTTTTGAAGTTAATTAATTAATTGTTTAACGTTTTCGATCCTTCAAATTATTATTCAAAATTTCTTTCTTTTAATGATTCTAAAAAGTCATTCAGAACAGAATTATATTCGATATCGATTCGATAAGTTTAGATAGATATTAATTCTATATAATTGATAATATGTGATAGAAGACAGTAAAACTTATAAAAAGTTACCATAAACCATGGTCTGATTACATACAGAGAACCAGGAAACTAAAATTTTGTTATTTTTAAGCCAACCACGTTTTATGTTGAATAAAACGCAATAAATAAAAAACTTCTAATTTAGGTTACAATTAATTACTTCATAGTAAACTAGATTAAGTTTAGTTAAATGCGAGTAAATCTTGTCTTTTTAAAAGTCATTTGAAGGGGACTTCTAAGCAGCTAAACTATGGTTATTCATAAAATCAAAGATTATTCGGGATTTAATTTGTAACCCTCCAAATGGAATGAAGAACACTTTCAGAAAAAGTTCTTTGTAGTTTGATGAACTGTGAGTCTGCATAAAATAAGTTGTGGTTTGTTACAGAGTATGTTAAGATTCATCACTAATTGATCAAAAAGATGTAAAAATATTTGGATCGATTCCTAATTTTATCGTACTAATAATATTTTTACTCAATTGGTAAAAAATACAAAAAATGTAAACTCAACTTAATTAATATAGACTTCAAGCTCATCGAACAAGAAAATTTTCCGAAAGTTTGGTTTCTTCAGTGCAGTAGGAGGGTTATAAAAAAAATCAGGTAGAAGACTTAATTTTATGAAAACCTAAACTTACCGTAGTTTGACTAATTAAAAGTCTCCCCCCCCCCCCGTGTTTTAAAAAAGACAAGATTTACTTGCATTTAATCTAGTTTATTGGTTGTAACCTACATTTTTTTTTTTTTTATTTCTTTATGACATTTACAACTGTATTACATAAATACATCAAGCAAATTTGGACATAATTGATATAATGACACGAATACACTTGCTGAGTAACTACCCAATGGTAGCTCTCTAATGATATGACTACATTAGGAGATCACGGGGCCATCTTCTTTTCAGACGCCTCGGAGGGTTATCAGGAATTGAAGAGGAAGCAAGGTTAGAAACGAGAGGGTTGGGATGATTCTGAAGAACCTACATTAAATATTATTTTAGCTATTGCTGTTTATTCAACATAAAACGTGGTTGGCTTAAGAGTAACAGACCATGGTTTATTACTTTTCATGAGTTTTAATGTCTTCTATCACATATCACTGATCCTTTGGAAACTATTTTATTTATGGAATTTATGGAAAAAATTATGCGAAAATGTCGTGTTTTAGTTTTCTAGCACTGAGTTCTAGCCCTATGTTTTTCAAGAGCACTTTATGTAATTAGTATATATATGTATATATATAGATACCAGGTATATAAATACCAGCATTTTTATTTTTTACACTTTATTTAGATTAGTTTTTCTATCGTATATTTGTGTTTTTCAAATAAATAAACGATCAAACATTTTCTATAAAATTAAGTTGCTTCCTGCTTCACTTCCCTACATATATATATATATATATATATATATATATTATATATATATATATATATATATAGAGAGAGAGAGAGAGAGAGAGAAACCTTTATCGTATGAAATGTTTCGTGGCCCCCTCGCCCCTCTGAAAAAATTCCTGGAACGGTACTGACTCATATCGCGAATAATATTCATTTTGTTACAAGACAAATAAGCAATAAAGGGAAACAGACAAGAAGAAAAAGGAAGGATATTGGAAAAGTATTTTTATTTCAAGGAATGTAACTGAACCACCACTTTAGAAAATGTGAAACCTCCACAAACAATTTTCATTTAGATATTACAATATCTCTACTGCTCTCTGAGCCTTTCATTATGTATGGTTTTCCTCGTATGAAATAATGAATTGGGTGTTAAAATAATAAAAATATTTTATATTTTAAACAATTTTATAAATTAAACAGCTAAAATTATTATCAAATTAGTTTCATTTAATCATATCGTATATAAGCATTAGGGATATTTCGGTAGGTTTATAGTTATAGGGCTATCAAATTAACAAATACAGAAGTTAGTATTTCCAAGGGAACTTGTGCTTATAAGTCAAAACGCCATATCTCCTCAAAAAAAGATAAGGTTTCAATGATTTTTTTTTTGTTTATTATTTTCAATAACAAAGTTAAAACTCTCAAAATCTGAGGTTATAGGTTTCACCAACGCAGTTACCCAAAATTGAATACTTTTTTTTTAAATTTGTATCATCTTAAAAACAAACAAATAATTTATAAACCAAAAAAAGGCAATCCAAAAGAAACAAAACAAATTTCTATTATTCCCAAGGAAAATAGACAATAAACCGAAACCATGTACACAACGCTAGATCTTTGAAAATACTGATGATTATTTTTTCGTCGTTGAGGAAATATAATTATCTTTGAAATATGTTTTAACGAAAATCATCCAAAAAGGCGTACTTTTTAAGTTATTTGCAAATAAAATATTGTATTCATCAAAATTAATTTTTCCATTAGTTCTTCGGGAAAAAATGGTAAATACAAACATTTAAAAGAGTTCCAGGGTAATACATAAGTGTTATAAAAATCGCCACAACCATTATATGAAGAGTGATAGTCTATAGAAGAAGGATTTTTATCCATGCCATCTTGAAATCAAATGGCGGCTGGCGATGTGCACCCCAAAAGACACTTCTTCAATACCAACTTAACAAACATACGAAATTTTAAGATTTTAACTTTATAAGGAGTAGCTGTAGAGATTCAAAATATTGAAAAAACAAAAAAGGAGAATAGTACGAAAAACATTTCCTAAATGGCAAAATTAAGACGATATTTATCGAAAGTTTTATGATATTGTTCTACATGGAATATAAAATAAATTTCTAAAAATTGAATAATCCTGATCTAGGGATTCTTAAACAGATAGAAAACTAAATCTCCCCTCTTTCTTAAGGGCATCGATGTAGTGTGATTTTATATTATTTTAAAGTAAAATATACAAAAATTGTTTTAGAATAGAATTGGAGTCCCAATCACATAATTAAAATAGCTATGGCAATCAAATGTTTCGCTGCTTTTAGGACTGCTAACCTTTGCATCAGGATAAAGTGCTCCATATGAGGACATTCTCCTGTTAAGTTGATGCATGTCCGAACCCAAAAAATGACAGCCAACTGGTCCTAGGGGCGGGACTCAATCAATGAAACTTGGAAGCAATCCACGGGACTGCTCCCGCTCGCTCAACTCCCCTCATCTCATTGGCTACCCATCTACAACCTCAAACTTTATAATTCGAATTCGTCGTTCTGTTCAGTTCATCAGCACAAAGGCATTTCCTTCGTACGCATTCAATATCATTCATATCCCATCGGCGAAAATGTTTAGTTTACTAGAAATCATGCTCTCTCAGACCATTGCCGCAACCTATTAAATATATTCTAAAACTTTGTTATAGAGAGAATTAAAAATGTTTCTCGCAGATATTTTTCTTGATACTCGTCATCTAGAGCACATATATATTGCAATAGATCCATGGATTATGACCGACTAGGGTCGGTACTAGATAGGAAGTACTTTCTTATCTAACCATAAGATGAATGGACGGTAGAATAAAATCAATTAATTGGTACTGTTGATAATACTTAATTATGTTTTAACTAATAATTAATAATAGTAATTTAATATTTTATATAAAACATTAATATGCTAATAAATTTCACTCGATTGTTATCCTTTCAGCGGCAAAATAATTCAAAAGTCCGTAATAGAAAAAACATATGATGGCAAAAATCTAATTATGCCCTTTAAAAAAAAAGTTTATATATAAGTACGTATTTTTTTCTAATTTTTTTTTCCTTTAAGATACGTTTATTTATTTTAAATTAAAACTTAGATTAAAAAGTTATATTATTATATCAAGTATTTATTTATTTTTTTTATTTTTTATTTTCCTCCCTACCCTGCCTTTAAGACAATACGGGAGTTTGCAGCAGTGACTTGATACACATTGTATAACAAATCACTGTTGCAAGTTTATCTTTTTACATTTTTAAATTGCTGTGAACACAGCCTACTTCATAATGTTGTCCCTTATTTTATCGTCCTCCATCTTCTTCTCCTGTCCTAATCAGCGGTCTTCCAGGTACTGCTTCTTCACGCCTGCCCAGGGAGAAGTGGGTTGGGCCCACAGTTTTTTTCACCCCGCATACAAAACTTTTAAAGTGCGGGTAGTTTTGTTCAGACATCAGTTGGGGTAATTGTCTTTCTGTTAGAACGAAAAGCCCTGTATCCCTCATTAATTTGGCCCTCAATGCCGCATAGCTGGTGCAGGCTACAAGGATGTGCTCAGCGGTTTCAGGTACTCCACAAGTGGGGCATATGGGATCGATATTTTCACCATGTTTAAAAAGTTTCGCTCTGAAACCCCCATGCCCCGTGATGATCTGTGAGACCCAGTAGTCCGGGAGAACCCATTTCTTTTCTAAGCGCGATTTAATTGTGAGAAAGAATTTTCTTAGTGTGGACCCGTTTGGGGTTGTCACCCATTGCCGATTCCATTGTTCCAATGTATCCTCCCAGAGGATCATCTTCCATCTTCTGGGGTAATCACAAATCCTCTTCCAAATGCTTGCTGGTAAATCCTCCAACCCATCCCTCTTAATATTTCAAGTATTATAATATTAACTTCATCGATATAATACCGAATACATCGGACGTTCAGATTAAAAAAAAAATATAGCATAAAATATTTAGCCCAAGCAAAAATAAGTGAATCGCAGAATTTAGATTGATGATTCAGAGAAAGAATTAATACAGAAAATAATTTTGATAGCTTAACGCCGAATTGTGTGACCTTTCCCAAGAAATCACAATCGAGACTGACACAGAACGCGAAAATAGCTATAGATCCCGTTTTTTCAGTGACAAATGCAATAAGTAAAAATACAACTAGTTCGCTTAATCACCATGAGCAGAGATCAAAGAACGTGACAAATCGCGTTCTGTCTCCAGGAGCCTATTGAAGGTGATTGCTAGGAGGCGTTGAAATGGACATGTAAAGTTGCTGGGATGGATGGAGATGAATGAATTACTAAAAGCGCTAATGAGAAGAGTAATCGTCCCAGAGTATGATAAAGAAGAAGTGAAATTTATTCAGAGGTTGGCAATAAGAACTTCCATGAATCTAAACAAATTTTGTATTTGTTACATTTAACTTATAGTTGACGATCTATTTCTCATCATCAAAACTATCTATGCAATTCGTTTTAAATAAACTTCCATGTATGCTCTTTCGTTTTATTCTATACATTCCATCAAAGGTGTTATCCTGAGCTACCATATCACCTGATTAACAATTGGGTATCTTTATTAACCACTTGTTAATCAAGTGATATGTTGGCTCAGGATAACACCTTTGATGGAATGTATAGAATAAGACGAAAGAGCACACATGAAAATTTATATAAATGAATTGCATGGTTAGTTCTGATGATGGGAGAATGGATCCCGAAACGTCAACTATAAACTATAAATGTAACAAATATAAAGTTGTTTATCATTCATGGAAATTTTTATTGCCAACCTCTGAATAAATTCCACAACTTCCTAACAAAAGAAGAGGAACAAATTTGTCAGGTCCGATCTTGATGAATTCGGGTTTAGATGATATTCTGGTGTGAGTGGGTAGAATTTTGGTTAAGGTTAAACAATATGGATGTTGATGTAATCAGTAACTCCTATTAAATTACTACACTGCTTACTTAATTAGTATGAAAAAACACGGGACACGATAGTCGAGAGGCCTAACACGAGTGGAAACCCCCCGTTGCCTGGCAATCTGATAAACTGATAACAAGGTAAAATAAATGCAAGTTCGCGTCTCGTAGTCGGCGGGGGAAGAGGGAAGGACGAGAGGGCTTTTAAGTTAAACATTGATACCCACCCTCTCCTCTGAACCGGGAAAAATCCTGTCCAGTCGAAATAGCGCGGAAGGGCAATACAACAAAAAAAAATTATAGATAAACATAAGAAATCAAATATTGTAATACATATTGCCGTAATAGGTCAAATTATTAGCTTTATTTTGGAACAATCTATACGCAACAATGAATGCTATAAAAGTTGGCATGAAACTCGTGGAAGACCGAAAACTTATAGATAGATGGAATCAACAAAGATGCTATTAAGCTGCTTGTAGAAAACTAGAGAGAAATAGTCCAAGATAGGCGGAAATGGAGAAGGTTCGTAAAGGCGGAAAAATATCTCTGAGATCTGTATTGACAACGGAAATAAGAATAGTCCGCAGTACAGACCCATCGTAATCTACAACTATTTTGTTAATGAAAATTTTGGTATTGGGGCGTTTTCAATCAGGAGATTGGTAAACATTGTATATTTAATTAGTTACTAAAAACTCCAAAATACCCATTTATTTTCCACTTGAATCATAAGATAATTTGAGCACTAAATCAAGAAAACCCTACATCCTCGAAATAACGAGATTGTATAGGCCAAACGTCCCAATATATTTGAAGGCCAATATATTTTTCTCGGCCTTTTGGTCAAATTATCTTACGACTTCAGTGGAAAGCAAATGGGTGTTCACAAGTTGTTAATGCCTATTTAAATAGACAAAGTGTGATCTTCATATTGAAAACGACCCAATTCCGAGATTTTTCGTAAATAAAATAGTTGTAGGTTACGATGAGATGAAGCTATTTACGAAGATTCAGTCGGATGTTAATAATTTGATAAAAACAAGTCTGTACCACGGAGTACAAATACATATTGCATATAGCCATATACATAAATATTGCTACAAATACATATAGTCATGTGCTTAACTTAATTCGCATTGTTTGAGTGTTGTATTGTTTTAAGTTAGAATGAGATTTGACCGGAATAAATTATCGTGTTTTGATCAGTTTTGTTTAATGACGAGCATCCTCTCAATTTTCATTTGTTTATAGCACCTACGGTTTTTTTTATTTTTTTTTTATTGCACTTTAGATATATTTTTGAAACGCTAAAAGGCATAGTGGATCATCATACATAACTCATGCATTTAACTGTGCACCGCATCAACATAAATCCTATTCATGCTTGAAGCAACGTCTTAATCAGGTTAAGTAAATGAAAAATTCATCACAATTTACTGGCAAACACTACCTTCTATTGACAAATATTTACGCAAGCCTTGGGGATTGAGAGTGCGGTGATATATTTCTAAGAGATCCGCTTGCTTTTACCCTCAATGAGGCGCGCTCCCTCATAAGATAATCCCGAGGAGAGAGCGGGCACTACCATAGATACATCAAACGGCCGCACAAGAGAGCCGAGGATAAAAGTTTTCCTTTCTTGGTCTATTTTCCCTCGAACAAGAGTACTTTCGTTATAGCGTTGTGTCAACCGTTGTATAGGAGAGTGCCCAAGGCCGGAACCCTCTATGTAATCAGCCTTGCCCTACAAGTCTACTCATGCGAAAACTTTGTAACTCATCTCGTCGCTGCCCTCAACGGCTCTTTCATAAATCAAAATATTTCTGTAAGATAGGTTTACTGGCACCGTAACGGTGGGGGAGCTAGAAGAGGATGTGTATGTTTGGGTCATACAATGCAATAACTTTAGCAATATAATAAGATAAAAGATGATTGAAAATATAAATTGTGAGTTGATGGTTGACTGTCGTGAATAATGAAGAGAAGGATGAGGTGATCAGTCAGAAATAAAAAGGCAAAAATAAACAATTTTTTATCTAACTATTGTATTTACAATATCTTAATTTTACTATTTATTTTTATTTCTTATATAACTTCATATTCCTTCTTTTTGTTTTACATTTTATTCTAAGATTACCATTTTAGTACTTATGTCACCTTATTTTTATTATGTTTACTTCATTATTCCACACTTTATAACGGTTATTATTATTTATTTTTTTGTTCTTGTTATTGTCATTATTATACCTACTTCATTTTACTTTAATTTTTTTACCTACATTGCTTATGTTTCTCATACCTTGTTAGCTGGTTCTTTTCTTAGCCCTGATGAAGGCCTGAACTTCAGGTCGAAACGTCGCCAAATGATAAAATAAATATTATTATTTATTTTTGCCATT